TATATATGAAGATTTACATACTCAAAGATCTAGTCTAAGTATTTATCTAAAGCATAATTTTCGAGTCTCGAATCCTCCTTCCCCAATTAGCTTTTTATTTTTCGGTTGATCTAGAGCGATGTTGAAAGCGCTAGAGTAGTCTCTAGTTAGTCTAGTGCAGTTTGGATTTTAAATTTAGTGACGAAGATTATCAGCTTAAGAGAGCCAGGAAGAAGCTAGCAGATAGCTGAGAAAAAGAACAGGAAAGAAAGGGAAAAGGCTAAAATAACAGAAAGAGAGAGAAAGGATTCTCAGGCTGCAACAGACAGGACTAGTGTTTACTAGGCTCTTTCCATTTTAGCCTCTGTTATGCAATCACAGGTAGGAATGTTTCGACTCATTTGCTTAGATATAAATATATAACACGTAAATGTACATATATTTCTATAGGGTGTTAAATGGCAACAAGTGTGTGCATGACATTACAGTCTTATTTTACAGTGTTTTTTGGCGACTACGTTGTGTATCTGGTGCACTGTATACCAGAATTGTTGTTATTAATAGAGAATTTACGAAAGTTTGATGAATGAAAAAGAATCGGTAGAATTTGCTTTTTAAGATTATAAAAGTTAAATTTCTAATACAATATCCAAAATCTTTCAAATTAAAAAAAAATTTGTTAACGTCGCTATAATTTAATATAAAAAAAAATAGAAGTTTAAAAAAAATGGGGACACAATTTTAAAAAGAGCACATACACGCACAAAGTATACAAAAGGAGAATAGATTTTTACTTTGAAAAAAATAGAAATTTTATATAAAATTATTTTTTAAATATATGTAAACTACTTTTCTATTATCTATTAATAACAGGCTGCTATCTATCATCTTGCAGATTGTTTTCTCCACATTAAAATTAATTTTTACTTTAAAATTTATAATTTCTACTAATTATAACATTTTAATTAAAAAGACATGTTCAAAATATTTTTTAAACATTATTCGTTCAATTATATATGCATAATTACGAAGTTTAGCAAAACATGTGTAACGCTAAGTGGAACATTGCCGATTCTATTTAATTCATCTTCCTTTCACAAAGAAAGTTTTAGGTTGAACAGGAGATACATTTTCGTTCGTATAGCTGTTGCATCGTTGTTGTTTTTTTACATTTTTTCTCTTTTTTTTTATATCTTCACCAGTGTTCGTGTATGTACACAGAAAGTCTCTCTATAAAAATATGTCGCTTAGAGATGACGAGGGCTCTTTAAGAGATGTGCTTTTCATATATCGTCGTCCGAAGATCTAGGAATCTCCCCTTCCGTGTTCAAAACTGTACAGTATAAATCTTGAATTTTAGAAAAAGTTAAACATTTATTTATGGCTGTTAAGCAGATGGAACTTCATATCGTCGAGTACTTTAGAAAAATTCATAAATTAGATCTCTCTTCTTTTTTGATTGTATTATGTTTACATTGTTGAGAAATTTTCAAATTAGAATATATTTCTATTCAAGGTGCGATATTTTTATCGTACATTAGATTGAAGGAATCACGCTATCAAAACTATGCGATACCTAGGAAACCAATTACGGCAATTACCAATAATATATTTGAAATTTAAAATGTTAGCAAGTATTCGCAATTCAAGAGTCTTTGTTATCTGAAATGCCTATAAGAATAATTGATTTACAGTTATACTTTAATATTGATTAATCGATATATAAGGTTTTTCCCTAAAGAAAACTTGAGATTTCCAAAACATTTGAGGATGCAAGAGCTAATGTAATGCTAACATATTTTTAAAACATTAATACTCCTAATCGAGATCTGTCGAAATATTAGTCTTTTTAAAGGAGAAATGAGTTTAACAAATAAGCATGAATAAAATCCAAAGCTGAGATGTAATAACCGGCATTATTGAAAAAACTTTACTGATCTTAAGATTTATTGTATATGGCATATTATGAGCAATTGAAATTTAAAAAATCTAAATTTCGAATATTAATATTTATTGTAGGCCACACATTCGGTAAATTCATTATGCCGATTCTACAATGAGTCGATAGTCGGTAGTTCTAAGTCTTATCCGTAAAGTTAACCAATAGCTATTTTGTACGACTAATGCTGATTGGTCAATTTCACCAATTAAGATTAAGACTTCCGACTACAGATTCATTGTAGAATCGCCTTTACATGAAAGCCCGTTAAAATCTATGGACAGCTGTGTCTTCATCTTGTAAGACGTGAAAGAAATAGACGAGAGACGTTGTCACTTAATTTAGTTAAATTCTCTCGTTCGCGGAGGGCAGGCAGGGCGTTTGTTATTGAGACTTCTTTTTACTTTCACTGTATTAATTGCTGTCTTTCGTTTTCATTAATTTCTGGTTTACCGTTTGGGCTGGTACTCGATGAGAGCAATGTGCCTGTGCCGCCGTTCTTCCAAGGCTGCCGACCGAGGTAAGTTCAAGTAATGACTATCTATGTACCTCTATATGATAACATTAATCTTAAGGATGCAGTTTATACTTTGGTAACTTCAAAGGATTAAACGGATCATAATATTATTTTATATAATAATATTGTATTCTTAAAAGAAAAAGGTTTCATATAAATATTAAAAATCTGACCTTAATTTGCTGCTATTTTGGAAATACTTAATTTTTTTTAGAAATAATTATAAAAACATATTTAGTAACATAGTATTTTTGCATTTTTTTAATCAGAAGAAAAATTATTGTGTATGCCATATTAAGAACTTATTTTTTAAATAGTTTTTAATTTTTTTTTTTCATAAATAAATATCTTGTTCTAAAATTTACACATGCAATTTTAAATAATTAATTAGTAAAATATTTGAAAGTCTTATAAAAAGTTTATTATATTTATAAAAAGCATAAAAATGATTACTTTGAAACAGAATAGACTGCTCTCTTAAGTTTCTACACGTGACGATTGAAATACGAAAAGGTATTTTTTTAGTATCAAAATTTTTAGCAATACGAAAAATTTTAAAAAGCTAAGAATTTAATTGAGGATTAAAAAAAGAGTTTACTTTCTTTTTTGGATCAAATGAAATCTCTCGGAGCAAAATTCTTGCATTTACAGTTATAAAGAACTTACAATTTTAGAAATTGAAAAGTTCTAAAAACTGTGAAAATTCTAAAAATTAAGAAATTTGAGATTTTTAGGATATAATAAGAATATTGTATGTATTTTTATAGATTTGTAGATTGTAACACTATTTTTACACATTTAATAAATTTTAGTCTACAGAGCTGTGTTGTTTCATTTTCCTCCAAACTCGTGAAATACATGCAATTGTATTTATGCATCAGCTATAAAAAATTATTTGATATATTTATATTAATTATATCTCATTGCACTAATTATTATACATTATTCGCGAAACATAAATAAATAATTAAACTGTGTATTTTTTTGCAGTTTTATGTATTCTTGTTATTTTGATTAAGC